GTGAGTACTGCTTTGGGGTTGGGGTGGGGGGGGAGGGGAGGGAGGGGGTGGGAGGGGGTTGGGGTGGGGGAGGGGGGGAGGGGGGGGCTGGGTGGGTGGGGAGGTGGGGGTGGGAGGGCGTGTCTGTTTTAGTGCTCGGGGATGGTATGGTGTTGGTGTTGTTCTTTTTTAATCTATATTTATCTATGTGTATGTTTTTGTTTTGCTTTATTTCATTTATTTATTTTTCGTGATGGTATAGCGTTTTTATTTATTTATTCATTTATCTATTTTTTCATTTATTTGTTTTTAGTGATGATGTGGCGTTTTTTTTTATTTTTTATTTATCTTTTTTTCTTCTAACAATCGTTGGTGGTATATGTGTTTAATATTAGTTCCTGTGTACTTGTTTTATTTGTTAATGGTTTGGTACGTTTATGTATTTTTAAAGTGTTTAAGTGTTCTTGTTACATCATCAATATACGTTTTTTTGTTTTTGTTTTAATTCATGGATGTTAAATACAGGTAATTGATATGCAGTGTTGATATCAAAGTGTTCATGATTTAGTGTCATACTAATTACTGCATTTGATTTTAGATAGATTTGATAGGCGAATACGCAACACTTTAAATTTATCTAAAACAATGTAGATATAATTTAGTCCATAATTTATCACTCTAAGTACACGGACAAACCTTAATATATACGATATTCCAGTCCCTGTTATGGACTGGATATATTGCATAAAAAAAAAAAATTACATCGCTGTGTATGATTTATGATGAGAAGTCCTGGAAGACAACATCACATGTCACGTGACGATATGCAAGTGTTTGTTTATGTCCTGCATTGCAGATTTTACCCTCAGTGTCTTGCACATGGTATGGTTCTCCGATCTGCAACCTGTGTATGAGTGTAATTCTTGTTGCGATCACAGTATTAAGTAATCAAGTTGTTATTATCATTAATTTCTTCTAATCATAGATAATTATTTTCATCTAATCATAGTTATTATTATTATTTTTTGTTTATGTGAGCCGTTTGTGATTTTTCCTCTACAGAATGGTCATTTTTTATGCTCCAGTTAGTCAAATGTAGAAATGGTATGAATGAAAATGGATATCTTCACAATACATATCTTTTCTACATTTGTTAACATGAATACGGTTCATCCAGTTGGTCAAGTTGTATTTGTAGAAAGATTGGATAACGTTTCAGATCCTGGTGAGAGGTATTTCAAAGTCTATTTTCTTGATCACACTTGGTCATGAGGCAAGCTTAAGATTTCAACATGCGATGGTATCCACTTCATCTCTCTACCACATGCCCATTCTTTTGCACGGTATACATTTATTCTGATATCATTATCAACAATCATAGTTTAGTTTAGTTCTTTATTTGCCACGCTAACTGCACAGACGTGGGCAAGCTGTGGTACACTTTATGCATGGTCAAAGCATTATATGATAGTATTACATTGAAAATTTGGGCTATAACGTTATTATGATCTGTACTATATTTAATTAAAGAACAATTACGTAGTCCTTTATCTACCAAGCAGGCGTACATCTTGGGCGTGGAAAGGCAGTGTTATATTTTCCATGTGGTCATTTGATACTACATTCCAAATCTAGGATACAACATAGGTATGTCTTCCAAGACATCAGATGATATGAAATAGTTACATAGTTCTCCATACCTCATGCTAGGTGGTCTGAAAGGCTGCATTACATGACACTCTAAGATATAATGTACAAGTGTTCGGTTATATTCTTTACTGCATAATTTACATTTGCTTTCTTCGACGTGACAATCTGTACTGACCTGCCAATACAATCTATATCCCAACCTGATTCTTGCGGTCACAATATCACAATGTCTTGCTCTTGTTATATATAAACCATAGATAACACACACCTTGCATAAACCGGTCATAGTGCTTTATGCTACAGCTTTTAGGCCTTTGAAAAAATAAATAAAACTCAGGCGTCTTGTTCTATTAGTTTAGTTTTGTCCTTTATTAACACACCCTGGCTAACTGCACAGGCGTGGGCAAGCTGTGGTACATTTGATACATGGTCAAAGCATTATATAATAGTATTACAGTGTAAATCTAGATTATAAAATTATTACGGTCTAAAATATATCATTTAAAAGAAAAAGAACAATCAGTAATTTATCTACATTTAGTTTAGTTTTAGTCCTTTATTTACCACCCTGGCTAACTGCACAGGCGTGGACAAGCTGTGGTACATTTGATACATGGTCAAAGCATTATATAATAGTATTACAATGTAAATCTAGATTATAAAATTATTACGGTCTAAAATATATCATTTAAAAGAAAAAGAACAATCAGTAATTTATTCTACATTTAGTTTAGTTTAGTCCTTTATTTACCACCCTGGCTAACTGCACAGGCGTGGGCAAGCTGTAGTACATTTGATACATGGTCAAAGCATTATATAATAGTATTACAGAATAAATCTATATCATAAAATTATACGGTCTAAAATATATCATTTAAAGGAAAAGAACGATCAATAATTTATCTACTCATCTGTCAAGCCGGCATACGGCTTGGGCGTGGAAAGGCAATGTAACATTTGATATGTGGTCATGTTATACTGCATTCCAAATTTAGGATATAACATAATTATATCTTCCAAGACATCAGATGATATGAAGTAGTTACATAGTTCTCCATACCTCATGCTTGGTGGTCTGAAAGGCTGTATTACATGGCACTCTGAGATATAAATGTACAAGTGTTCGCTTATATTCTTCATTGCATAATTTACATATAAACGAAATAGGGCGCACCCGGACCGTAGATTTTCACACGCCGCGAAAACCCGTTTGGGCGAGCTGCCGATGGGCTTTTGTTACTCACTATCGATCCATTCCGGCGTGCGTGCGTGCGTGGATGTTTAATTCCCCCCCCCCCCCCCCAAACCCCCAACCGATACTACCTCTTTCCCCAAGAAACGCTTTCTGTCGCAGCAAACGTGACAAGTCGTCTGGACATCTGTGAATATACATCTTCTTCTTCTTCTTCTTCTTCTTCTTCTTCTTCTTCTTCTTCTTCTTCTTCTACTTCTCTTCTTCTTCTTCTTCGTCTTCTCTCTTCTTCTACTTCTTCTTCTTCTTCTTCTTCTTCTTCTCTTCTTCTACATTCGACTTGAATCCCATTGAGATACGGGATCAGCCGCTCGAGTTTTTCCCTTCTCCATATTCTTCGATCTTAAGTTTCTTCTTCTTCTACAGTACCTAGTGTCTTCATATCTTCTTAATCAAAGATCTGTGTATCTGCTTTGGTGTCGAATCAAGACGCCATGATTTGCCTGAGGGAGTGTCTTCCTTCACGGTCTCAAGTAGCTTTTAACGCTTGGTGCTGAATCTCTTATGTGCAGTAGGGCTCCCGATGAGGGGCTATATTTTGGCTATTTTAGTACCCCGGGAACTTTATAGGCTAGAGTCTCATGGTTATGGAACATTTCATTGTAACAAATAGCTTTATCGTTCGTTAACATTATCACACGGATGGTGTTTTTTTTTTTTTTCTGGATTTTATTATATGTGAATTATATCATAGAGATTTTTTGATTCGTGGTTTCAATATATGTGAATTATATCATAGACTGAGAAGAAACAACAACAACAACAACAACAACAAAAACGCAAATACACACGCAAGCAATCAAATAAAAAAGAAATTACTGCAAAGTACACATGAGTATTCCAAATACGTCTTTTATGACACGCAATTCGCACATTGAATTATGAAAAGACGTGACGATTTGTAAAAAAAAAAAGTCAAGAGAGCAAGAAATGAATTAAAAGAAGAAAGAATAGTTTCTTTCCCGTTTTCTTCCTCCTAATTGCTGATTATCTCTGACCGCGGCTGAAATACGAACAGGAGAGGAAACAGATCAGCAAAGATGAATTGTTTGATGTGCCTGGTTTGACAAACAAGACTGTAAATAAAAGGGAAAGACTTATACTACACACACACACACACACACACACACACACACACACACACACACACACACACACACACACACACACACACACACATATATATCGTATGTTTATGTGTGTGCGTATGTGTGTGTATGTGTGCATGTGCATGTGCGTGTGTATATATAAATGAACGTGTGTGTGTGTGTGTGTGTGTGTGTGTGTGTGTGTGTGTGTGTGTGTATGTATATGTAAGCGTGTGTGTGTGTGTATACATTCATACACATAAACATTCCACAAATACACATTGCTGTACGCACAACTACATATAATAAAACCAATATAGATGATTCGGCAAAGAAAGCGGGTGAGTTACCCATGACAGCGTCCCTCACGTATCTTCTCCCTGCCTTTAGCGGAACCTGCGGCATGTGTGCAGTAGAGGGAGCAATTGATTTTGTCATTATAGTGCGCCTCATACAAGCTACACGCACTTTGCTGTGTTTGCTGGTACGGATGGGGTGTCCTCTTGTTCCCCCTTCCTCACTCCTCTTCTATGGCGATTTGCACCCCCCTCCCCTCTCCTTCTATGGCGATCTGCACCCCCTCCTCTTCTATGGCGATCTGCACCCCTCTCCCCTTCTATGGCGATCTGCACCCCCCCTCCCCCTCTATGGTGACTTGCACCCCCTCCACCTCTATGGCGACCTGCACCCCCTCCCCCTCTATGGCGATCTGCACCCCCTCACTCCCCTTCTATGGCGACTTGCACTCCCCTCCCCCTCTATGTCGACCTGCACCCCTCCCCCTCTACGACTTCACCCCTCCCCCTCTATGGCGACTTGCACCCCCCTCTATGGCGACCTGCACCCCTTCCCCTCTATGGCGATCTGCACTCTCTCCTTCTATGGCGACTTGCACCCCCTCCCCCCTCTATGGCGACTGCACCCCTCCTCCTATGGCAACCTGCACCCCATATCCTCCCCAGTTTAAGGGTACTTTTTTTATTTTTTCTATTTCTTCCTCATATTATTTTATTCGCGTTTACTGTTTTTAT